CAATTTACATTTACAAAATCCGATTCGTAAATTCAAAACAAAAATACACAAGTAAAATCATAAATATTTCCCCAAATGCTCACACAAATGCATCTTACCTAAATAAATTTAAAATGTTTAAGACAATGCCATCAGATAAAAAAATTACTTTACTCACTCGTTGAGTCTAGTTTTCATCTTCCATGCTGAAATCTCTCCGCTGTGTGTGTGTTCGAAATCTCCCTTAGGTGGTGGTAGCTGTTTTTAATGCCAGATCAAAAGTTACTGCGAACCTGATACTACTACTACTACTAACAACAACAACAGAACACATTACATAATTGTTGTTGTTAAATGAAATATTTGGACATTTAACACTTATTTAATAACATTATACAGGTACATCTAAAAAAATTAGAATATCATGAAAAAGGTCAATATTTTTTGTCACTCATTTCAGAAAGTGAAACCCATATATTATATAGATATATAGATTCTAGAGTGAAATATTTCAAGCCTTTATTTCTTGAAATTTTGATGATTATGGCTTACAGATAATGAAAACCCGAAAACCCATGTCAGAAAATTAGAATATTGTTCAATAATGTAAATTCATGGTGTCACACCCTAATCAGCTAATTACCTCAAAACACCTGCAAAGGTTTCCTGAGCCTTTAAATGGTCTCTCATTCTGGGTCAGTAGGCTACACAATCATGGGGAAGACTGCTGACTTGACAGATGTCCAGAAGACAGTCATTGACACCCTCCACAAGGAAGGTAAGCCACAAAAGTTCATTGCTAAAGATGCTGGTTGTTCACAGAGTGCTGTATCCAAGCATATTCATAGAAAGTTGACTGGAAGGAAAAAGTGTGGTAGGAAAAGGTGCATCAGCAAAAGGGATAACCGCAGCCTTGAGAGGATTGTCAGGCCAAATCCATTCAAGAATTTGGGGGAGCTTCACAAGGAGTGGACTGAGGCTGGCGTCAGCGCATCAAGAGCCACTACGCACAGACGAATCCTAGACATGGGCTACAAATGTCGCATTCCTTGTGTCAAGCCACTCCTGAACCAGAGACAATGTCAGAAGCGTCTTACCTGGGCTGTGGAGAAAAAGAACTGGACTGTTGCTCAGTGGTCCAAATTCCTCTTTTCAGATGAAAGTAAATTTTGCGTTTCATTTGGAAATCAAGGTCCCAGAGTCTGGAGGAAGAGTGGAGAGGCACAGAAACCATGTTGCTTGAAGTCCAGTGTGAAGTTTCCACAGTCAGTGATGATTTGGGCTGCCATGTCATCTGCTGGTGTTGGTCCACTGTGTTTTCTGAAGTCCACAGTCAACGCAGCCATCTACCAGGAAATTTTAGAGCACTTCATGCTTCCTTCTGCTGACAAGCCTTATGGAGATGCTGATTTCATTTTCCAGCAGGACTTGGCACCTGCCCACACTGCCAAAAGCACCAAAAGCTGGTTCAATGACCATGGTGTTACTGTGCTTGATTGGCCAGCAAACTGGCCATGTCATGACGAGACTCTGGACAATCAGCTGCGACGTGATGAGACTCTGGAAGATCCGCTGAGACATGACGAGTCTCTGGACAATAAGCTGCAACGTGACGAGACTCTGGCAGATCAGTTGAGAAGTGACGAGAATCTGGAAGATCAGCTGAGACGTGACGAGACTCTGGAAGATCAGCTGAGACGTGACGAGACTCTGGAAGATCAGCTGAGACGTGACGAGACTCTGGAAGATCAGCTGAGACGTGACGAGACTCTGGAAGATCAGCTGAGACGTGACGAGACTCTGGAAGATCAGCTGAGACGTGACGAGACTCTAGAAGGGTGGTCATTTTGCAAAGAGACTCTTGTGTGGCGGCCATCTTGCGACAAAGCTCTTAAATGGCGGACATGTTGTGAAGAGTCTCTTGAGTGGCCGGCATGATGTGAGCAGGCTCTGGTGTAGCTGGCTTGACGTGAGCAGACTTTGGAATGGCATCCATCTTGTGAACAGGTTCTGGTGTGGCAGATACCACATTAAACGAGGAACAACTTAAACGGAGTGCAAAATCAATATATTGCTCAAGAGTCCAGTGAGGGGTATGGAGAGGCATGAGGTAATTAAGAGAATCATTAAGTCCATGTCGAAAAATGTCCTTTAAAGCCACATCATTAAAATCTACCAAATAGCACAGTCCACAAAAGTCGGCAATATAGTCCTCTATGGCCCTGTCGCCTTGACGAAGGCAGAGGAGGCTAACTGCTGGGTTCATGTTACGGTCGTGCATTCTGTAATGAGTAGTCCACTGAACGGCAAGTTGAAGAACCCATGTGCAGTTTATTTACAAACATGTGTAAAAGTGTAAAAGTGATCCAAACATAATCCAAATAGGGATAGCTGACGCAAAACTGATGTTTCGACACAGTGTCAAGATCCCGAAGTGCAGATGTTTCGAAACACTCCTCCGAAGTGTGATTCGAAACACCCATGTCACATGACTAAGGCGAATCAAAGCATTGGGGCGTTTCACAAGTGTTTCGAGAACCGTATCTGGTTTTGACATAACATATTCACAAAGAATTCATTAAGTTGTCAACGAAATGTTACAACACATTACAAGAACAGAACAATAAAAACACAACTTTTAAACATTTATTATAATATAAACATACTTCACCCAGGATTCGAACCTAAAGAGACAGACTCTAACAACATGCCAGTCGTGCACACTAACCACTTAAGCAATACTTAAAAATGACCACTAGGTGTCACCATAGAGACTGGTGTCAAATTGCTTCGAAGCATCGGCACATTTGCTTCGACTGTTTCAGTGTTTCACGAAGCCTCGCTCTGCCCACCACTAAATCCAAACAAAGACTTGACTTGACTTGAACAGACTTGAATAGACTTGATGTAGCATGAACAGACTAGACTAACTGACAGCAGGTACATACATTAATACACGACAAAGAACAATGTGAACATGAGGGCTATTTGTCTCAAACACTATGGGTCACATGACAAGAATCAACCAATGAGCAAACAGAACTGAGTGTCACATGACAGGACAATAACCAATGAGGAACAAGACACATGACTATAACAACCAATCAGAACTTGACACATACATAGGGCAGAAATACATGAGGGCAAGGCTTGGTGATGACACCAACAGCATGAATCAAATTACAAAATAAAAGACATGAAAACAAGAACATGAAATAAAACCCAAAACCCCACGTTACAGCAGTTTTGTTAGCACAGGGTTGGAAATGAACTTTGCAACTCTGGAGGATTATGGAGCCAGATCAGCCTCAAAAATAATACATTACAAAGCAAAATTCATAAATGCACAGCACAATTTACATTTACAAAATCCGATTCGTAAATTCAAAACAAAAATACACAAGTAAAATCATAAATATTTCCCCAAATGCTCACACAAATGCATCTTACCTAAATAAATTTAAAATGTTTAAGACAATGCCATCAGATAAAAAAATTACTTTACTCACTCGTTGAGTCTAGTTTTCATCTTCCATGCTGAAATCTCTCCGCTGTGTGTGTGTTCGAAATCTCCCTTAGGTGGTGGTAGCTGTTTTTAATGCCAGATCAAAAGTTACTGCGAACCTGATACTACTACTACTACTAACAACAACAACAGAACACATTACATAATTGTTGTTGTTAAATGAAATATTTGGACATTTAACACTTATTTAATAACATTATACAGGTACATCTAAAAAAATTAGAATATCATGAAAAAGGTCAATATTTTTTGTCACTCATTTCAGAAAGTGAAACCCATATATTATATAGATTCATTACACATAGAGTGAAATATTTCAAGCCTTTATTTCTTGAAATTTTGATGATTATGGCTTACAGATAATGAAAACCCAAAATTCAGTGTCAGAAAATTAGAATATTGTTCAATAATGTAAATTCATGGTGTCACACCCTAATCAGCTAATTACCTCAAAACACCTGCAAAGGTATGTACCTGTAGATTGATCTGAATAAACAGGGTATGTGCGACTTTGGTGTGTAAGACAGCAGGCTAACTGGGTATTTTGTGCGCATGATATAAATCATAATGTGATTTTGTAGAAATTGTAATCAGGTGCTAAAAAAAGAGTACCCATTAAAATGTCTTTATATAAAAGACACGATCATGGAACTATGCACAGTACAAGCGCAGCGTTGAGCTTCTTGAGTCTGTTCACTAAGGAGCATTTTGATTGGTGGATTAAAAGCTCACCGCGATTAGCTGAACGGAACATACTCCAAAAAAATATATTTATGAATCTTAACCTGTCAGGAAAGTCTCAAAAATATTGCACACAAATTCAACGCAGTCCACACACGTGTGACGATTTGCAAATGCAGATTCAATGATCCATAAATGCATGTAACATCATTCATAAATGTGTGATGGAAATTAATTAAAGTACTTGATATATACATATTTGTGTAAACATTTTACATTTATTTAGTTGAGTCTGTTCACTAAGGAGCATTTTGATTGGTGGATTAAAAGCTCACCATGATTAGCTGAACGGAACATACTCCAAAAAAATATATTTATGAATCTTAACCTGTCAGGAAAGTCTAAAAAATTTGCAAATGCAGATTCAATGATCCATAAATGCATGTAACATCATTCATAAATGTGTGATGGAAATTAATTAAAGTACTTGATATATACATATTTGTGTAAACATTTTACATTTATTTAGGTAAGATGCATTTGTGTGAGCATTTGGGGAAATATTTATGCTTTTACTTGTGTATTTAGGAATTGTGTTTTGAATTTACGAATCAGATTTTGTAAATGTAAATTGTGCTGTGCATTTATGAGTTTTGTTTTGTAAATGTATTATTTTTTTAGGCTGATCTGGCTCCATAGAGGATCTCTTCTTTTACTGAGTCATTTTATGAAGAAAAACAAGCATGTGCAGACATGAAAATGTGGAAATATGAGTTAAGCATTATGAATACATATTCATGTACTGTAATAACAAATGCTTCCTGTGCAATTTCAGTACTATGATCCAGAACTCTACCCCTCCATGAAAGAGCAGAAGAATTTTGAAACGAACGTCTTCAACAAAACACATAAAGCTGACAGTAAGTTCATTATTAAACAGCTCTTATGTTGCATTTTACTGATCAATATACTGCCTAATGTATTGCTTGTAGTGATTAGACCTGATTGGCTGCTTTATGTTCCAACTCAAGCTCTTCAGATCAATGTTTCATAGTAAACTCAAGGAAGTTTAGAGATTTCATTGTGCAAATTAGGACCACAACCACTCTCAAAGTATAATAGTAAGCGTCCCAGATCAGTCCCAGATCAAGTTACTAGTTTACAGTGGTCCTTGGTCATTAGAACTTGCATTTGCAAGCTTCCACTGGGGCTTGCAGGTCAGATTACTGGAAAACAGGGTGGAGAACCAGTTCTAGAGTTCATAGATGTTTCTGTCACTTGCCCTGTGGGGTGAAGGAGTATGACACCAGGACTAAAAACCACCCTGATCCTTTCACCTGTTTAGGTGTTCACTGGTCAAAATACACACCTGTATTTGTCTCTTAAAGGTGAACCTGGAGAAAGGTGATACTGTCCGCTCGGTTTAAATTTCTTGGAGTTTTCTTTTAGTCTTCAGTCAGATATTCAGACAAACATATTGAGATTTATCTAGGTGAGATGGGCCAGAAATAGCTTCTGGCCTGCAATTGTTTTGCTTCACATGAAACTTTCAGTAATCAGACACCCGGTCCTTTTAACACAGCGTCTCAAAGTAAAACACTGAACTGAGATCAGTTTTCCTAGTACATATTAACAGAAAATTAGAATTGGATGTGATATTATTTTGTTGTGCTGTATATTGCTTTCAAGCATTGTAGTCTCTGTGGCCTCACTCTATCTATCATGTATGAGCACTAAGTAATAAAATAAACTAGAAAAGTTGACTTTGATGAAAATAACTTTGATGTTGGCTTGGTCTGCAGGTTTTCTTCATATAGTTAAGTAATATCACACAAGCAAGTATGCATTTTCCCGAATATCAGCACATGTGCCTGATCACAAATGTGTTTTTTATTTTATACAACAGTTCAACAAACAAGATGTTAATACTGAGTGAGTTACATTTTAGACATAATATTGTCAGGTTTTTTTGCCAATTAAAGTAGTTTAAAACAAAGCCGTAACAAAACATTTGTGCATCTCAGAGCAACATTGCAGTATTTTGTTCCTGAATGAATATGGTTTTGAACAAATAATTTAATTTCTAAAGGAATCAGGCATTTTGAACGAATCGTTTCAGTGAATGATTCAGTGAATCACTCATGAAGATGCTGGCGGTTTTAGTGTCATATTTATTCATCCACGACAGGCCTAAACCAGCCAAGGTACCAGCACAAAAACGCACTCAGCAAAATATTGTTTAATTATCATTATCAATATATCCCAGAAAATATTAAGATATTAATTTTTTCTCCCAAAGATATATAATTTTCTTGTACCGAAAAGTGTAAAAAATGTATATAGATTGGTAAAAGTTTGTTCTATATCTCTAATGTTTAACTGAATATACATAATTTTATGAATGAATAAATGGTAAATCTTGTGTATTTTGTCTTCTGCTTCTTTCTGTGTGTGCAGATGAAATTGCTTTCTTAGAGGGAATGACGATAGTCTACAAGAGCAGCATAGACTTGTTCTTCTATGTAGTTGGCAGCGCTCAGGAGAATGAGGTAAGTCCTGTAAGCAGATGAGCTGGCCTGTGATTGGCTGAAGTGCTGTCCATAATTTGCATGTGACAGCAATTCTTCCATTGTGGAGAGCTGGTCAGTTTTAAACACTATTTGACATCTGTGACATTTTGTTTGTCTAAGAGGATGCAGAAATAACAAAGTCAGCTGTGTTTCATCCTTTTCCTTTTTTGTCTCTCTCTCTCTTTTCCTGTATTTGTCTGATCTCAGCTCATGCTGATGGCAGTGTTGAACTGCTTGTTTGAGTCTCTCAGTCAGATGTTGAGGTGAGTTCATGCTCTGATTTATATATATATATATATATATATATATACACACATTCTACCATTCAAAAGTTTGGGTTTAGTGAGATTGATTGATTTTTGAGGCAATAGATGCTTTTATTCAGCAAGGAGAACACATTAAATTGATCAAGAGTGATAGTAAAGACAATTATAATATAATAAAAGATGGTATAAAAGTAATTTTAAATTGTAAAAAATTTAATCAAATAAATGCAGCCATGGTGAACATAACATACTTCTTTAAAAAAATAAAATAAAATCTTACCGAGAGCAAACTTTTGTATGATTAGTGTATGAAATCTGAGGCCATTTAATATTAAGAAAATATAGAGGCCAGTGTGTATTTTGATATTTATAAACAGTTCTGTTGACATCATGTGTCGTCCTAGCCATAGATAAGTATAGGTAGGCCTAGATGCCTTATTAGCAGCTGTTTCTGTGGGCCACTATACGTAAGCTGTCTGCCATATTGGAACGGTCAAAACTGTTCACACTCAAGAGCAAGTTGACTATCTGCAACTGTAGTAGTACACTTGTATTTATATCCATATCTGCAATAGACTTAAGCAGATGATTTTTGTAAACTATCACAACACCACAAGATGAAGCGGTTCGCTAACACGACATGAAAATGTACCATAGTTTAAAAACCTGTAATACAGAGTTGATACATATTAAAACAAATGCATTCTCACCTGTGAAAGTTCATTCCATTTCTTCGGGAATTACAATTTTACAATCAGAGAATGCACAATGTTGTGGGCTTGTGGCATTTTGGAAAACCCATTGATTTTTACTGTGAGTGACCACACATTGGCTGTGAGATGGTGGACGCGTCAACATGTCTGGAGTGGTCGAATGTGGCATCTGTCTGTACATATCTGCGGTCCTAGCTGCCTATAGGCTAATTCACGTCAGAATTCCCAGAATTATTGGCGTCAAGCCTCCTGTGGTAACCATAGAAACTGGTTCAGTGCAGGACGTGGTGTCACAGAAGAACACTTGTGTGCTCAGATGTCTGGTACTTCTCCAACAGGAAGAATGTGGAGAAAAGGACTCTGTTGGATAACATGGATGGAGTGTTCCTTGTGGTGGATGAAATCATCGATGGAGGGTAAGTAATACACAGTTCTCTTTTAGAAATTAGTCGAGTTGAATTTAAATTGACTCCAGTTTTCAGTCACATGATCCTTCAGAAATCATTCTAATATGCTGATTTGCTGCTCAGGAAACATTTCCAATGTTTAATATTTTTGTGGAAATTGTGGTACATTTTATGAGAATGAGGATTTTTAATCAGTGGAAAGTTCAAAAGAACAGCATTTATTTGAAATTTGGTAACACTTTAGTTAACATGAGCTAAGCATGAACAATACTTCTACAGCATTTATTGATCTTAGCTAATGTTAATTTACTAATGCATTATTAAAATCAAAAGTTGTGCTTGTTAAGTAAGGGATAATGTACATCCAGCCAGTTGTTCTTGATCTTGATTCACCCTGAAGGGGGTTATTCTGCGATAACTACCGGCTGGATGTACATTATCACACTTATTACACGGCTACTTGCCACATAAGTAAATAATTAGACACAAAGTATTGATTTGAGCTGAAATATTTGAACGCAAAGCTTCCGTGAAGACAGCGGGAAGTGGAAAGTTCAAACTAGACGGACATTTAAGGGATGCGGTGCAGTCAAAGCACTTATTACACAACATTTCACCACATAATTAATTAAGGCGATAAAAGATATTGATTTAAGACGAAAAAGTTTTAAAATCTTACCAGATTGTTCGTTATATCTTATTATCCATTACAGTGTACAAAACAATCGTCGCAAAATGGCAGCAGCTGCGTTTGTATGAAACGAGAGAGCGAGTCCAGGATGACATAATTAAATAGTTATACACATAATATTGAATTGAAGTTTAATAATTTATTAGCTGACCAAACGCAAAGCTTCCACGGAAAAAAAAAAAACTGTTCCTAGCAAGCGTATAGCGCCGACTTCAGTTACCCGGTTTTTTTAGTTTTTACTGGTTGTTATCGAGGAATAACATACCTTGGAATGTCACGACTGACCAATCAGAATCAAGTATTCCACAGAGCCGTGTAATAACATTAGTTAATGCACTGTGAACTAACAATGAATAACTGTATTTTCGTTAACTAACATTAACAAAGATTTATAAATACTGTAACAAATGTATTGTTCATTGTTAATTCATGTTAGTTAATACATTAACTAATGTTAACAAATGACAGCTTATTGTAATGTTACCTGAAATTTTTTTAATGTAAAAATAAATGTCTTTACTGTCACTTTTGATAAATTTAATGCATCTTTGCTGAATAAAAATATTAATTACAAAAATCTTACTGTCCCCCACATTCGAAACGGTAGCGTATATGTGCTGTTCAAATTGCACAAAATGTAAAATGAATATGTGTTGTAATCGTATAGTGAAGTCAGTACCAATGCTAGGTGCTCTAGGCCAGGTCAAGCATATAACAATAAAATAAATTATAAATAAAGACCTATTTTACCTATATTTGCAATTAAGTAAAATAAATGATAAACTTGAAAATAAAATTCAAATACAGCAATACAGTGACATAAGACTACAGTTACATTAATGAACAAAAAAATGTGAGAATGTCAGAATGATAAAGGTCTTCTAATCTCCGAGAAATTCCCTTTTTAAATAAACCTTTACTTTAATTTATGAATAATATTTATTTAGTTTGACTAAATATACTGGCTTTTAGCAGGTAAAAATATTTTATTAACAGGTCTTAATAGATTAAGTCTTAAAAGGTCTTAAAAGATTAAGTTACAAGCTGCTTCTACAAACAAATAGCAGCTCAGATGCACAGAAGTGAAGCACAAAAAGATGAACAGAAAACGTTAATGATTATGATTCAGAAAAAGGCTAGGTTATAATTCACTTTCAACGAATGGGCTGGGCAGAACGGATAGGGAGAACTATACTGCCTATACCAGGATTTGCCACTGAGTGCAAAACTGGACTTAAACGAAGTTATCATTATCATGATGGCTGTTTTTATTTCACAAGTCTCAATGCTAGCAATTTTGTGTCATAAAATTCACGACTTTCTATTTTGATATGCTGCTCTTCAACTTATTTACAGGGTGATCCTAGAGAGTGACCCCCAACAGGTCATTGAGAAGGTCAACTACAGGGTAAGAGACTGTACAGAAGAGCAAATATCATTGTGTAATGAACTGACGGTGTTTGTTTCCTGTATTTAGGGGTTCTGCTCTTGACAGCTTGTTATTAAACCACAGACAGCTGTCAGATATGACACCAGTACTGCAAGTCAGCAGAGTTTCTATCTTGCTTCTTTTTTTTACCTCACTGCAAAAAAAAATTCCGTCTTCAGCTGTGGTTGCTGGAATTTTACCGTAAAAAATACAGTAGCAACGTTCTAGATTTTACGGGTTTAACTTAAATTTACAGTTAAATACCGTAATTTCATTAACTGATATAATGTTAATATACCAACCTATTCAAGTACTGAAATCTGTTTTGTACCTTTGTAATACACTGATAACCACCCAATGCAGGTGGTGATGAGAAAGTCACATGATGAACAAAAGCCCATCACAAGCAGCCTTTAAATAATAACATATATGGAAGGTGCACAGTATCATTCACACAGACACTAAACACCATCATGGTAACACACATGAAACTGAAATAATGCAATAAACATTAATTTAACAACATTAGGTGTAACACACAACCCTAATATACAAAACTGATAAGAAAAAACTAAGAAGAAACATAGTTATTTCAACTAAAAAACATAAAATATGAAATGTAACGCAGGGAATTCTGGGACTGTCAATTTACGGTTATTCACCGTGTCTTTTTCACTTCCAAAAACGGTATACTACCGTAAAATTAATGTCCAATACATGTAATGTCCAATACAGTTTTTCACGGTATATAGTAGGGGAATTTACCGTTAACCATTTAACAGGATTTTACTGTAGCATTTTTACAGTATTTTACCGTTAAATTCATGGTCATTTTTTACAGTGTAGAATTACTGCTTTCTGTATTTATAATTACCTCAGCATACCATTTCAGCTTGACAAGAAGTTGCCTTTTTTTAATGTGTATGTGGAAAGGAGGGATAAACAGAAGATTTAATTCCATTATACTATAAGTAATGTGTCCCTTTCACATACATGCACACAGACAGACTAAATGTCCCCTCTCTTGCCCTGTCAGTGTGTGTCAGAACAAGCGTATGGCTTCGTCCTTTTTGATTACATCACTGGTAACATGGAGGCCCAAGGAGAGATGCGGCAGCTCCTGTAGCTCTCCTTCAGCCGCCTCCCTCACTCCCTCTGATTTAGTGCCGGATAGAGACGGGAGAGAGAGAGAGAGGGACGAGGGTGAGAGAGTGGGCAGGTAACTGCATTGCATGCACAAGTGTGTGTGAGGCTCACAAGAGGAACAGCTGTAACCCAGGCGGACGATCAATATTAAGAAAACATGGCGCTGACATCTGACCATAAACCTTTCGCTTCGGAGTGGGAGACACTGAGTCACATCTTTGAGTTACGCTCGCATAAACTCACTCAATCAATGACCGGGCATGATTTCGGCTCAGTTGACCTCAGTCCACACTTCTGATTTATGCTGTTATGAGTTTTTTACTCCAGTACAAGGGGGGGGGGAAGACGCTAAGATCCACTTATAAAATCAATGATTTCAAATGATTAAATGATTTCAAATAAGACTGAAATACATTGCAAAATAGAATACAAAACAAAATACAAATAGATAATACAGTTAAATTAAGCTCTAAATTCTGTCTAAAAATCTAATCCCAGGCAAATGTATTTTGTAAATAAATCTTATTTTTATTATTATGATTTTTTTATTTATTAGAAAGTTCAAAAAATAAACTTATAAACTGTATTATTTTTTATTAGCAGAAAAATGGCAATATATTATCCATGAATATTTGTAGCAGCTGGGGCACATTTTATTTTGTCATCTTTTAGATGTTTTTTAGATTTAGTGATGGTCCTGCTCCAGTACAGTGGTCAACAAATATAGATGTTTAATGCATTTTTAGAACTTTTTTTTGTTTTTTATTAGAAATGTTATTACATTTTATGCATTATTTTTTATTAGTATTACTTTTTTGTAAATTATTTTTTTATATATTTTTTTATATGGATTTTTAATTAACTTTTTAAAATTCTTTTTAATTCACTAGAACATTTTCTGTATTATTTTTCATACATTTTAGCAGCTGGGACACATTTTATTCTGTGACCTTTTAGATGTTTTTTTTGTTTTGTTTTTTGACTCAGTTTTAGTGATGATTCTGTTCTAGTGTAGAGATCGACCAATATGGACATTTATATAATATCTATACAACAACTGATGGCTAAAATAAAGCCAATATATACATAAGTAAATGTTTTGTAAATATTATATAAAATACGTTTTTATTTGATTACGTTTATTATTTAACAACAGAAAATATCCATTATCAAGGCTGACAAAATACCCTAGTATGAAGGTAAACTAACACTTCAGTTAACTGGGCAAGCTGGCATTATTATCAGCCAATGCCATTAATCTCAAATTAGGCAGAAATTTGCAGATCATTTGGTCTATTATTGCTCCAGATGTTCTGTGTATTTTTGCAACAGCTTTGGGACATTATTTTTGTCCATTAGTGAGGTTTAACAGTAGCAGTTGAGTTGTGGTGTGTTGTTGACCTTTAACCTTCGCTTTGGCATACAGTAACAGTTTGAAACATCTTACCTGATGTCTGGCTTGGTTGGTTGTGGTTTATGTTGGTTAGTTATTATTAATAATTATAATTATTCTGATTTTGGTTATTTTACAGGCAGATGACAATCCATTATCAGAACAGAGTGTGGCACAGGTATTGAACACACAGTTTGAACACGCACAGAATTTTCCCACCTTTTAACATCTTTGTCATGAAACTTTTTAAAGCTCAAAGCTTGTTAAACAGTCTGAAATGTTTCTTCATTAACACCTAGACTGATTTTAGTCTTGCTCTAACCTTTGCCACTAACTCTAACCTTGACAGCACATCACTGAAAAACTGGCTCTCACCTCTAATGTAAGTGCATGAACACTCACACATATGTGCTATTGGACACCCACTCATATATGCATGCTGAAGTAAGCATGTGTGTGCATTGAAGCTCTTAGAATGTTATGCAGCCTTTTGGGTAAATCTTTAAAACATTATATCAGAGTGTCAACAGAGGCGTAATATCATCGATAATAGACTGAAACTACTCTAAAGTGAAGTTTAATTATAAAAGAGGCATCACCATAGAAAAAAGCAATTGTTATTGTCTAGTCTAATATTGTGGTCTTCAGATGCCCCCTTGTGGCTATGATATAAATTTGTTAGTGTGGTTGGGGAGGTTTTATCATCAAGAATATACCCAGATATCAGGTAACGTTCTCTCAAAGTTAAGAACAAAAATTATATATATATATATATATAAAAAAAATTTTTTTTTCAGTTTTGAACCTTCAGAGAATATTCAGAAATAGCAATTACATAATTTAATGGGAACTTTAACAAAACGTTCTTAGAACATATTTTTGTAAGCTGGGTACACCTCATTATTGCACTATTGAGTCTGGTATTATACAAAATAAAATAATTCCACTTTCCTTTTCCATTTTCATAGTGTTCCTTTAGCAACAAAAAAATTGAGCAATAAAAAAAGGAATGGTTTATTAAAACCATATTGCATTGCATCAGTGTGGGACCGTATTATTTATTATTATTACTCACAATATATGCATTATATTTTATTATTACATTAATTAACTAATTAACAACGCAGATAATTTCACATTGCAGAGCACATTGAATTGCATATGTGGAGCTTCTTTTTGAAGTGTGTTACATTTTTTGGGTTGATCCTAATAATCCGCCTTTTTATTTATTTATTTATTTCAGGTGTTACAGTCAGCAAAGGAGCAGATCAAGTGGTCAATTCTAAAATAGCATTTTCCATGACCTGAAGGAATCTGTAAATTATTGCAAGGGAATTTAATATATATATTTTTTTCTTTTTTAATGAGTTGTAATTTAATTAATTATTGAAGTAATGCAGTTGCATCTCACGTTTAGTGCTGAAATATGTCTATTTATTTTTTTTTGCCAAAGAGTAAATTAGGTCATTTGTGTTTTTTAAATGATATGATAGGAAGATTGCTTACTGGGTTCTGAACCACACATACCTGTCTATTTCCAAAGCAGCTTTAAAGCAATCACAACTCTTTTTAACCTCTGCAAATATTGATATACTGCTGTTCAGTTTAGAGGAGGTACAGGCATGTCTTCTTTTAGCATAGCCTGTCATTTAAATGGTCACAGGTCTAAACTTGATTGTCTAAACTTGTATTGGTCTTTCATCAGTTTTGTTATTTTGGTTATGCTTTAAAACCTTTTGCCAATATAATAATAATAATAATTTACAAAGTTCTGTTACACTAAGTCTATATTTTGCTATTTTAAAATGTATGTTTTTTTGTTCAAATGGGGAAAAGGCAATATTATGAAATTGATATAGTCAGATAGAGGCATTAATATAATGATATAACCCACTATAGTAATAATAATAATAATAATAATTGTCTGATAAGCCACACCTATGTGTACTTTAGAAATATGGAAAGTAATAGCATTTAGTAGGTTTAAAAAAAAAAAGTGTTGTGTTTTGGTCAATAGTAACATTTCCATAAAAACAATATATTTAATTTTCTAGTAAAACAAATTGTGTACATTCTGCTGATTTGTTAAAAAAAAATGTTTTTGTTAAAAACATGGTTTCAGAAAATAATATGCACAAAAATGTCACTAAAAACTAATAAATGTGTTTGTTTTTTTTTAGCATTTGTTGAGTCGTTTCAGTCTTTTTGAGACCGAATGACAATAGGACAACAATGCTGATTGGTGAGAGAACACCGAATCAAGACCAATCAGATTGGTTCCATAATGAATGTTCTGCATAAATACGCATATGTTTATTAGTAATAAAAAGAGGGTGTGGCTTGGTCTGCCATTGGATGCCGTTGGCCAATGGAAATCGTCAAGCCGAGGCTCCGCCTACACGACTGAACCAAAGGGACGCAGCTGCGGAATCGCCAAAGCCTGACTGGTCGCAGATATTAAAGGTGGGTGTTGACTTTTGAAAGCGGGGAGAACTTCAACACCCAATCACATGTTACTCTTTCTTTTCGGCTTATGCAGAATCTGACCAGGTCAGCACTAGCACAAATAAAACATCAAATTCTGTAGTAGCCGAGTTTTCATTAGCCTTTCTAACTTGTTTTGCTCAGTGTCAAGACGACAAAATCAGATACTGAAAGCTTAGCCCATATCACAGTCTACAATAAATAGGGCTATCAAAAACTATATGTTTTAAGAATGGTGCACAATTTACACAGTATAGCAGATTACAGTTAACATGTGTTAAACAGTGATATGACAATTTACACAAAATCCACAATGAACTAAATTACGTTCTTATGTCAAATAATTATATTCTTATCAGTATTAGGTGATCACACACATGTAATAATAATAGCTAATAATCACTGACGCAATGAAAAGGAACCCTTTTCGCCATAAACATAAAAAATAACCAGAATGGTGTGTACAAAAATAAATGTAGGTTACGCCATAGACTATAATAAAAGTGGATTAATTGCAGCTTACTTCTGTTACAGCGATTTCGTATTTTTCATATCGTGATCATTAAAAATCATGAAAAGTGATTCATGGGCACAAGTTGATTAATGCGCATCCGGCGTTAGGAAAAGCATACATTTAACACGACCAAAAAAATTGAGACATGTTGAAACTAGCCTAAATCATCTTTTTATTAGCAGAACATTTTAACTATCGCAAAATCGCAGCCATAGGCCTGCACTAAAACAAATAAAACACTAAAAAATGACTGGATTTAAAAAATCGTAAAATAATCGTTACAACTTTTAGTCATTTTCTAGGCTACTCCTTTCTTTACACCGATTTATATAGAACGAAATAGCGACTAAGAGAAAGCACTGGAGGCGCGTAAAGCACGTGAGCTGGCGACTGATCAGAACACAGCAGTAACTATAGCTAACTCTGGTCACATAGCCTACTTTCTCTCTTTTTACTTTATTTCCTCCATGCCATAAAACCATTTTCTTTCATCTCCTGTTCAGGTTGTGACCTCGGTGTACCGCCACAATACCAACTTTCTGGCCTATTTATTTGTGCATTAATTTATCTCTTTATTCATATGTTAAAAAGAGAGAGATTTATTTTGTATTTTGTAAATAAATTAATACAATTAAATAAATTAATTAAATGCTATTAAATAAAAAAAATGAAGAAAAAGATAATGAAGAAAGGGGAACCCACCTCCCAGCAAAATAAATAACTACTCCTATTAGAAGCCCAGCAATATTGTTATTGTTGTATTCTTCCTATTAATTAATTTGTGCCTTTGTAATCATACATTATGAGTTATTTCCCCCATATCATGAAGTTTGCTGTCAAAATTCACATGCAGGTATTCTTTTAAACAGTTTACAGGAAATCCCTTCAAATCAGCCACAAGAAATGTTTCAAAAGGTTTTTTTTTTTTTTTTGTAAACATCAAGATTTCAGGTTATAATCCATAAAATATAAAGTGTGTATTTTAGGTTTAGGTTTTAGGTCCATTTTTTTTTAAAGTACACATATTCCATGAAGTCATGAGTTTAAAAAAATACCTATAATAGTTACAAAAGAGCATTGTAAGGTCTTGTGCAAACATATTGCATGCAGTGTTAAAAAATGCTAACTGAAATTAAAAAGTTAAGTTTAACTGTTGCCTTAAATAAATAAATCAGTGATGTATAGTGACTGCAGTGCTGAAAGTCATTGCATTTTTTACGAGTTTGAATTGAATTTATTTATTGTTTATTGGTAAACCGTGTTGGGGAAAGTTACTTTTAAAACTACTGTGTTACTGCCTAAAAAAGTCACCAATTACTCGTTATAGAAAGTAATGTGTTCTGTTTCTTTTGCGTTACTTTTTTCTCATCTGCCTTGACCTCATTGTTCTCTCTTCAGAAACAAAAAATACAAAGAAACACAAATGTTATAAAGTCATTTTTGCTCATTAGTACGGTTGATCATCGAAGGTCAGCAGCAAACATACTGGTTAATAAAATGGAATTAAATAGGCTGCATAAAGGATATTCGTGTTATTTAACATGTTTGCGTAATCCTGAGTTTGCATTTGACTGTTTTTATTCATTTGGAGGAATACTGAATCTGTTTTTGTCCAAGTGAGATGAGTAAATACATGCTGATATTTAGTCTAGAATTACAGTATCCTCATGTTTACTCGGCGCAGCATGTTTACACAAGCCTCTGCACTTATACTCTTGATTTCTCTCAACATGGGGACAGGAGGGCTCTCAGTCAATACATGGCAAAACAAAGTAACTGGCGTAATTTATTTGAAAAAGTAACTCAGATATTTTCTTGTAAATCAAAAAGTAATGCATTACTTTACTAGCTGCTAAAAAGTAATCTGATTACACAACTCGCATTACTTGTAATGCGTTACCCCCAAACACAGTCGGTAAATAAAATCAAGCTAAAAGTACAAAAACCTGTGAAACCGAGTAGAATTGACATTAATTGATGTAAAAAGTTAAATGGAAGGGAACAAACGTTTAAAATTGGGGGGAAACTGCACAGTATAACTAATACTGTCACTGATTGTGTTTTCTCAGAAGCACAGATATTTTACAGATGTTGACTTAAAGCCCTGATTGTAAGTTTCCAGGAGTGGTGAGTGATTGTGATGTGTTTGTCATAATCGCCATCTAGTGGAAAATGGACATTTACACCGTCAACTTGAAAAAGCCAGACTCTCCGCACCTAAAGCACGTGTGCTCAATGTAAATTCTATATATTGAGCACAAAAGAAGATATATAAACAGTTGCTGATAGTCATTGACTTCAATGGTATGGAAAGTATGCTATGGAAGTCAATGGCTTTCTTCAAAATATCTTCTTTTGTGTTCGACAGAAGAAAGAAAGTCGTACAGGTGAGGGTGAGTAAATGATGACAGAATTTTCATTTTTGGGTGAACTATCCCTTTAAACCTAAGGCCTAAGATGGTTGCTGAGCTTGTTCAGTCACTCAGCCTGGTCAGACTGGTTTGTTGGCTGGGTTTAGAAGTTAAACCAGGCTGGGAAATCAGACCAGCTTGGCCAGGATGTGAGACCATCTAAAATCAGCTACACTGTAAAAAATGATTTTGATTTTAACAGTAAAATACTGTAAAAATACTACAGTAAAAAACGGTTAACTGGTTAACAGTAAGTTTCCATACTATATACGGTGAATAAATGTAATTACATTTAATGTAATTTCACAGTAAAATACTGTTAAAAAATATTTTCGGAAGTGAAAAAGAAAACTTAATTGTATAATTTACAGTGAAAAACTGCAAATTGACACTCCCAGAATTCCCTGCATGACACTTCATATTTTATGTTTTTTTTGTTGAAATAACATGTTTCTTCTTAGTTTTTTCTTATCAGTTGTGTACATTAGGGTTCAATCTTACATCTAATGTTGTTAAATGAATGTTTATTGCATGTTTTCAGTATCGTGTGTGTCACCATGATGGAGTTTAGTGTTTGTGTGAATGAGACTGTGTGCACCTTCTATATATAAGTATTGCCCTCCTCAGCTCGTAGTGAAGCTGTTTGTGATGAGCTTTGGTTCATCATGTGACTTTGTCATCACCACCAGCTTTTGGTGGTTATCAGTTCATTACAATGGTTCAAAACAGATATTAACACTTCAATATGTTGGTTTATTAACATTACATCAGTTAATGAAATACGGTATTTTATTGTGAATTTAAGTTAAGTCTGTAAAACCTAAAATGTTGCTACCATATTTTTTACGGTGAAGTTCTGGCAACCACAGCTGCCGGTATATTACCGTAATTTTTTTTTACAGTGATAGGAGTAGCAAACAAGCATCTCTTTGCAGCATCCTTTTCCCCAAACATATCATGGACGTATTTTTAACCCTTGTAGAAATCCATCATTGGCATCATGTTTCCTGCATGTAATTATACAGAGGGGTCATAAAGCGAACACACACACACACACGTCACTGCATCTTCACATCCTCAGGAAATGTGTTTTTGTGAGAGTAGCGGGTGTTAATAGATTTCAGATCGCTTGCAGCTGCTCACAAAGTGCTTCAAAGTGAAGAAGCGCTGGATGAAAGAATGCCCGTCATCTGTCACAGCCCTCTTCATGGGATAGAGACACGCAACACTGTGGGCTCGTCCCAAAATACAGTCCTCCACAAGGTCACAACTGCACGCTAATTTCCTCAAGTACTTAACCTTGAGAAGATTTGTCTACATATTTCTCATTTTTGCCATGAGAAAACTGACCTTGTTTCCTCTGTACCGAGTAGTTTATTGACACGATGAAAGACAAACTTCAGCATAAATGACATGAAGCTGTATGTTTTCACAGTCAAACAAATGCTTTCATGTATGCTCTACCACATATTTTATAATTCAACGACTGACTGCTGTTAATCAAGTGTGACAGCCAAAGGCATTTCTTGTTTGTTTTTTTACAAGCTCAAAAATTTTTACAGGTGAAGATGAAGAAAACCTATACTTTTAGATATCTAAAATCCTAATAATCTTAATCGAATAGATCTGTATACTGTATATTGTCAATTCTGTTATGTTTATACATGGCTGCGTCTTGTCACTTTTCACCTGATGTTTTTTCCACGTCTCATTGGCACCTT